GGGGGGGGGGGGGGGCAGAGGCTTTATTAGACGCTTGGAGCCATGTATTGAGAAAAAGCAAGCATCGATCGACATCATTTCGCATTTTACGCGTTTCTTGTCTGTCGAAAGTGAGTGTCATACGGAAATAAATATCGGGACTGTAAAAAATAGCGATATGCGAGCATGTTGGGATGTAACGTAAGTAAGTTATTAGAATCTAACTTATCTTCTTTTCTCGAGATTTGCAACTGGTCTCGTATTAATAGTTATTACTCGAAACTTCTCTCAAGTGAGATACTCATATTTGAATTTGAAGTTTAGTGAGAGTTTTCTCTAATCCAATCGTGATTATAGATATAAGTATTATATTTTAGGTCGCCCTGCTCCCTGAACAAGTGAGCTGAAATATTCACGAAACGTTGGAATCAAATATAAGGAAGACGCGATCCAAAGCCAGAAAACAAGCGAATCATTGGATAACACCACTAAAGCCTAAAATGTCAGATATAAGTATCACACATAATTCGACTGAAAAACTTGGATCTAACCCTGAGTACGAATCTGAATATCTCACATGAGACAAGTTTCAAGTGATAACTCTATTAATACAATTACTAGTACAACTATTAATACAAGCTTTACACACTTTCCAGACAGCATAGAGTTTCCAAGGGACATCCTCAGGATGTCCATAAGGCATCTCTTGGAGATGTGTACTGTCTGGGTTGTTATTACGATCGACTCACTCAAGTAGTAATAAAATCAGTCAATAGAAGCATCGATCTATTATAAATTGAAGCCATGGATAGATTGATCGTAAGGCATTTTTTAACTGGATGTACATACAGTGAGTTGCAAAATGATTTAGACACAGTAAATCTGCGAGCTCACCAAACTATCAAAATTGAGAGTACTGACGGACTTACGCAATAATAATATAATTAATGACAATGAAGAATACTAAATATTAACAAATAATAATAATATTAAAAATAATAATAAAAATATATATACTAAGCAAACTTGTTAAATAATGATTCTTACACATTTTGATTCTCACAGTTTAGTGAACTTCCAACTTCATTCTGTTTAAACTAACTTCAATATGTTTTGTGTAACCCAAGCAAACGTAGAATGTATTCCCGTTTAAACTTGTTTAATCACACTTTATTTTTTAACATGGTGAAAACATTGTAGGAGAAATCACGTTAAAATTGTATTTTTTTTACAATATTTTTTTGCAAAGTTGAACTGCATATATTGAAACTGCATTATGAATTTGTTATTGAAGTAATAAGTTTGACGAGCTGCTTGATACACGATATAAAAAAGCGTTCAAGTAATTACAATAATTATGTAGTAAAAAATCAAATGTGCCTAATATTTTTAAACAAATATATACTAATTCCGGTTATAATTCTGTCTGGTCCAAAGTTATCAAAATTTGTTTGCAATTTTGACTATAATACTTTCTCCATGTACACGATAACTCGAAAGCTCTTCGGAGTTATTTCAATAGACGGTTGTGAGAGTGACGTTTTAATCCGTCTTAAAAAAGCGCAACGTGGCCTCAGCTTAAAAAATTAATTATCGACTGGGAACAGCAGAGCAGTCTCGATTGCTTCCTCCTGCGATTTGCGGCGAATACGAAATTTTCACATGCACAGCAATTTTACGACAAGTCATATGATTTCGGTGCGACATTATAATCGATTGTGCGTAGGTCCGACGCGCGAATTATCGAGGCAGCGCACCGATGTCCGGCACCATCGTTTAACGACGTTTCTCACTGGCTAGAGACGCATAGACGTCTAATGAAAGCTATCGCCAGTCTATAATCGTCGTGCAATGGCTCCATCGTCGCCCGGCACGTTAACAACCCTGGCAAATTGAGCTCGTTAGTGCAATGCAACCGCGGGCATTATGCACGTTTGCCAGCACAAAGCTCGGCCGCGCACGGGCGGCGTGCGAACACGCCGTCGTCCCGTCTTGATTTCAGATCACGTACTGCACACCGAGTGGAACGACAACGATACGGTTTATCGACAACGTGACTATGCCGTTTCTTTCGAAGTCGATTCGCCGAAATACATCATAAGACGGAATTACCCGGAGCCGCGGTCGATATCACAAATTAAACTTCCGAAGTATCGTCTCCGCTCTAACGCTCCTCTCGCCGTAGAGGTAGCGCCATAGACACATATAGAATTGGCTGCGTATTATCATAGGAAGGATGAAGTCAGCATTGTAAGCGAGAATTCACGCCATGGAGCAGAAAAGCAGAAAACACAAAGGGAGAATCCAATCAGAACTCGTGCTGATGGAAAAGCAGAAACTGTCGACTACCACCTGACCATCAGCGGGAGTCCTGGATTGGCTTCTGCCTTTCTATTTTCTGCTTTTCTGCCAGAATGTGAATTTTCTCTAACAAAGGCCAACAGAGAATAAGGTGCTTTCCTTGTCTAATTATTTAATTGGTGGAGAGAATGAAGGAGGAGAAGCAAACATACACAGCCCGACATATCTTCTCTTCCTCTCATTATGTCTCACTCTTCCTTTTGTTTCCCTCTCATGTAGTATCTCTTCTGTAGTATTGTGTAACAGAGAGAGCACCTAATATCTCTGCCCTTTAGCCGCTTCATATGAATGCGCAATCTATTCTATAAAATAGAGCTTTTCCCGCTGTCTGCCTCTTCCCTCCTTCTCACATCTCACGGAAACCGTAACATTATTTTTTATATATACAAAAACGGCGATACATTTTTAATTGTTATCGGAGATCTCGCGTTATACTCCGCCGAAAACGGCCCTGTATTATCAAACCACCTGCACTGACCCGAAATTCCTATCAGATTGCGATAACCGACGCGGATACAGAGTGGATAAATTATTACCGCCACGAACCGACGTGACGGGATTTACAATGTCGCTCGCATCTATATACACTCGCCGAGAGTCACGTGTTCGTTACCCCGAGGCGATCGAGCCCGATCCGTTTTTACCGTTTCATCCCGTCGCGCCCTTTTATCTGCTTCCGCTCTGATGCCCTAATTATTTCGCAGGATTTTCGGGCGAACGTGATCGCCGGGAAATAAGGAGTAACAGCTCTAATTTTGGATTACTTAAAATTAACTTGCGACCATTTACATAAATTTATCGATCAAACATCAAAACGAAAACTGTTAATACCAATATAAGCAAGTAATATCAATTTTAAAACAAAATTATTAGACTTTAAATTAGTTTGTCCTAAATTATAAAAAAGTAATAAAACATTTTTTATTCCAGTGCTTGAATTCCAGTGATCAGCAAATATGACGCACCCATGTAATAGTTATACAATATCCAATTTTACAATGATAATATCCATAAATCACACGTTATTTTAGCTTATAAAATCATGTTATACGCAACACAATTTACCTCAGCAATTTTATAAATTTAAAGAACCGGTAATGCAACTAATATCCTAGATTTTTTTTCAAATATTAGAAATATTTGTGAATGTAATCTTAATATATAATCGTAAAAGGATTAAGGAAAAAATTTTACCGTGTTTTTATTATTTTATATATTTCTTTAATATAATAATATGAGCCAAGTTTGAAATCCGACATTGGAACTCGACCCATAATTGGGACTGTTACCTTACTCTTGGACGGCGTAGCGATGTGTTACTTGAAGTGTCGTAGAATATGAAATGCAATTCGCTCATGATATTCGCCATCGTTGCCGGTGCTGTTGCTGATGCGTATGTGTGTACTGTATGCGATGTTTGTATATTAATGGAATACGTTACACGCGGAATAAGGGCAGTCGGGCGTAATAATATCTCGCTCGTGTTTTACAGATGTCGAGGAATTATTGGGTAGACCAGTGCAGGCGGAACTCTCGGCGGAGACTGGACTTGACGTCGCATTGGACGCGCTCGTCGACCTGGCGAATGGTAAAGGAACAAAGCAAATGCATAAAGAGTATCAGCTAAGAGAATCTGACATGTAACGCCTCGGACTCGGTGAGAGTCACGCGTTTCCGCAATTCCACGATATTTTGGGGATATGATTTGGTGATCTGGATAAAGTGTCTCCTTTCCCAACTGGTCTGCGAGGGAATTGTGCGATTTTGAGAATATCTCACTGGAATACCTTTGCCATTGAGCTTTCATATTCCGAGCGCAAAAGCGCAACGCGACTATAAGATACTCCAATATAATTCTGCAACGCGATGCCGCAAGCAACTATGGCGCGTTTTACATAACCGCATGTATAACGCAAATAACGGACGAATATCATAATAAACACGAAAATAAACATCTTCTTAAGTTATCGCCGGATCCCGTGACGCGACAAATTAGAGTCCTCGGAATCTTTGTTGCTCCGACTACCGGCATGCCCTTGGCGCAATGGATATTACCGGGAATATTCCGTGCCAATATTATAGTTCGTTTGTTAGAGCGAGTAGAGGATAGGTGACGGCGCGCCGAAATGTTTGCATATTCATAACCGTAATATCTACACGTCGTACTCGTCGTACGTATATTAATTTATGCGTCGAATTGCACGCGTGGAGAAGCGCGACCGCGTGCCGTTCACTCGCTATCTCTCGCAAGCTCGAAATAAATCTGATGACTCCGACGTGCTTTCAACGCGCTCTACGCATCACGTCGCGCCATTCATCCAGACTTCAACGTTTCGACGCGCTAAGAATTATATTCGATTCTCCTTAACGTCAGCGCGGTTGACTTCCGCGGGCAGGGAAAGACCGTCGAGTCGAGGCGCTTTGCGAGATATTTTGCTCTGCAAACCCTCGCGTCCAGTAAGTTGGTTTAATCTTCGCGTCATTACGTGTTCGTCGAGTGTCCGGTTAATCAAGCGCGAGTAATCGACGCAGCTGCGCTCAGTTCACATGTAAACGCTGCTTTCGGGGCCGCAAACTCGGCCGACGTTATGGCCGGTTTAGGTTGTTTCTGGTAAGGTTATTCGGTCTTCCAGTGAACTCGGCGCCGTTAAGTGACCTTCTGGACCTGGAGTGTCACTTAGTCACGGTACTAAGTTACTAACAGTATACTAACTAAATTAGTAGGTAGTACCGCAACTACGGGCCTCTCGCTCTTGCTATCTCCTTTCATGCGACCTCTCGCGTAATCACTACATGTGTATCGTACGTACGTACAGTACTTAACGTTCTCTATCCGGTGTCCCGAAAACAGTCATCTCATGACGCTCGCAATGCGCTTTGATCGCAAAAACCGCTTATCAGCCAAAGCTCCGTGAGGCAGCAAGTTGTTCTGCGAAACGAATTAAGCATTCTGCTCCGCGGCGCGCTCGATTGATTTTACAATTAACAAATTCTACATGTAGCTCGCGCATCGAGTTGTTTGGAATACAATTACGCGACGATAAGTGAAAACCTCGAAAAATATACGCGGTTTCTGAAATAAAATTCGGAGCAAATAACGAACTGTCGAGGCAACGTAAACAGGGAAAACGGAGTCTCGACGTAACGTCTGAAAGTTTTAATTAGAGAAAATCTTAATTACAAGAGAGAGAGAGAGAGAGAGAGAGAGAGAGAGAGAGAGAGAGAACGGAAGTTCCTAAAGACTTCTTCGGCCGTTTCAAAACTGTCGCGTGATAATTATCAAATGATACATTCGCGCGTGACCCGAATGTAATTCTGATCTTTTTAAGGGCACTATTCTGATCATCAAATCACTACTCTACCTCAGAAAAAATTATCTTACTGCTTGCAATGTCGAACACTACAATCCGCGATTGTACTTTCTGTTGAAATTCCACTTGAAAAGCAAAGTGACCACCAAATTTGAGTAATTTTTCACTCATATAGAGTATGAATTCTCCATTCTGAATTGTTGAATAAATATTTTCACCAAAAAAGATTGAAGAATGAATCTTATACTTTATTCCGTCATATAAACATATTAATTCTAATTAATTGAAACATTCGCTCAGATGGAGTCAAAATCCGTTCTATGGAAGATGGATGAAACTTTCTTGAATGAAACACTTATGCAATTTCGAGTGGTATTTTCACTACCACTTCGAATGAAAACACTGCCACTTTGCATTCCTTTCGAGTGAGATCTCTCCAAGAGATTTAAAGAATATGACATTGTTTTTCTCTCTCGTTTTGAATATTGATATCTTCTCTATATTCCGTTTCTCTTGAATATGCTGCATGAAATCTGGCGATTATGAATTCGCAGCACACGCCGTATACGGCGTCTGGAGACATGTCTATCGGGCAAAACTCCGAGAGTCGCTCTCTCCGTCGCTGTGTGCGTTTGCAGCGAATTAATTCAAGTAACGAAAACCTGTTACAGCAGCGAATACTCGAAGACGCGATACGGCGCCGTCGCGCAACGTATATATATATTCCCCATCAGTGCAGAGACGAAGTCTGATATGCAAATGACGAGTAACGGCGCTTTATAAATTGCTTCGTTATATCGGGCGATAGTCGTTGTATCGGTTGTCACCTAATGGTTTGATGACCTACTTGGCCACCCAGTATGCCGAAAGTTCGTCCTGGTATACTATTAACGCTATCGATCTGGATTATCATCCGACGCGCGGGCGGAGAGATAAACGTGGGAGCTTATTAAATTACTGCGAGACGTCGCGTTGGCGGACCGTGAACGCTCGTATCTTTCGCGACTGTATTCAAGATGCGCTTGCTTGTTAAACATTCAGTGCATTAAAGCACTAGAAATACACGAGGCACGATTTCATGCTTTCTAATATGCACACACTGACCGGTAGTTCAGTTCACTGCATAGGTCTTCCAATGCATGATAGCGATTCACGCAGTGAACTGAACTGTTGATCAACACGTATGTGAGAAGGCGTGAAATTATATGAATTCTAGCTTTAGCTAGGAGCACACGAGTGAGTCTGTTCCTTGCAGCCGAACTGCCCTTATAGAAATATCATACTAAAAATCATTGATAATTACTTATTTTCAGTATTAAAAATACTGGATAATAAGTAATTATCAATGATTCTTAGTATGATATTTCTATAAGGGTGGCTGCACTAGTTTGCACTAGTTCCCTTTCTCTTTCTTTTACACCAAGTCACAACTATATGCCTGTTTCTTTTTAAAAGTTCTTTTTACAAGTATGCACTATTTTTCAGTTACAAAGAGCAGACGTACGATTTTATGCCTTCTTCGTGTTCGCATGAAAACGATGGACGACAGAGACTCGGGTCATGCACAGGACATTAACGGTGTCGCGTATGTTTCAGCGACGCAGGAGTTATCAGCCAGGGTCGAGTCTTTGCTCAGAGAGGGCGAGAAGGCGCACGAACTCGGGTCGGAATTGAGTAGAGAAACGGACGAGATACGGCGGGACTTGGAAGGTGCGGTGAGAGCGTGCTCCGGTCCAGATCGTTCCCTTTGTGCTGTCATTGACTCTTCCGGGATTCGCCTGGATCTGCGGATAGAACGGGTGAATAAACTTTACGATTGACGCTCGTTCGGTCGACCAGCGCGTTCTGAGGTTTACTCGGCGGGGAGAGGGATAAATGGCGTGGCGAACTTTCGTCGCAGTTGACACTTTTTTTTTTTATTTATTACAGTTCGGCGCACGGGCGCCAGAATATTTCATTCGTAACGCGCGTTGCAAAATTTATTTAAATAAATTCGAATAGAGAGAATTATAAAATGCGATCGGGCGAGATTCGACGTACGGTTGAAACGGTGTTGTGGTCACGCTTGTTTGACCAACAGTTATAACGGTGTTTAACTTCCATTATCTCTCTCTCTCTCTCTCTCTCTCTCTCTGTCTCTCTCTCTGTCTGTTTGTCTCTCTCTCTCTCTCTCTCTCTCTCTCTCTCTCTCTCTCTCTCTCTCTCTAATTATTTCAATTTCGATTAAAATCACGTGCGCGATATTTTTATCTGCTTTCGTTCCCTCCTCCCTTTACTCTTTCTTTTTTTTTTATATTCGTTTTCACGCTGAACACGTTTCACTTTCCTCCGCGTTTGTTTCTTCATTTTCGCGTTATTTAATCGCCGACGCGTCACGCTGTGATTGCGAGCTTTATTGCGATCGTAATTCTAGAATTTCTCGCGGTTTCCTCCCTTTCGTCTCTCCGATTTCACCTTGTTTATTGCGTCTCAAGGCAGAAATAATGATTATTTTCTATCTCGGAAGAGATGAACGAACTGAGTTCTATCAGCTGACTGCGCGAAGGATTTACAGACTAAGCGAATTAGAATTATCGATAATTCTGATCGATAACGGTGCGCAATTTGTCGATATACAATCTCAATCTGTCGCTGTAGAAAGCAAAGAATTGAGCATTTCCGTCTCCTATAAAATACCAAGCTGAAAATTAAAGATTTCACGCAACAACACGTTGCGTATACAACACGTAGTGTGTAATTATATCTCAATCAGTAACTAAAAATATCTTCATTGATTTTTTGATCCGGCTTCCGGATGGGCGCCGCGTCCGCCGGGTTCGTTTCTGACGCTTTGCGAGCAACTCACTTCACTTCTTCAGGAGACCTTTTTCAGTAGAGGAACGACTGTACAGTCTTCAATCGTGAAAAAAAGTACTGGAGAAGATCTCCCGCGGAAGTTAAGTGGAATGTTCACGAAACGTCGGAAACGAATCCACGAAGGAAGCGGCGCCAATCCGGAAACCAGATCAAGCGAATTAAAATTATCGATAATTCTGGTTGAAGTACGGCGCTTACTTGATCGATATGCAATTTCGGTCTGTCGCCTGAAGATTGTACAGTCTCCAGTCGTTTCTCCACTGAAGAGGACCCCACAATTGGTGCAATGACATAAAATTGGCAATCTAAAGACCGTAATCGCCGAGATCGTAGCGACGGAAACTTCACGAGTTTGTGTTTTCTTAGTCACAAAGTTTACACGCACACATGCGTGATCATAAACACCTTCGGATTCTAAAGCTCCCCCGAATCGTTCCTTGTCCACTGTTGTCGAATAAATCCATCCGCGTTACGCGATAATAGCAATATTTTTCTCGCACAACTTTCGCTCTTTCGCCTCTATTCACTTCGCGCGAAACGTCCTCGTTATTTCTCTACCATACAAATTTCCATCTCCATAAAACTTCATTAATGAAGGACGCTTCGAATGGTGTACAAATTCGCGCGATTCTTCAAACCACGGCGCGCAGGCGTTTAAAACCGATTTTACTGCAACAAACATCGCGAAAGGAGACCATCATTTATTTCTGCTGTCCAATTTCGACATCGCAAGTCCGCGTGTGCTTGAGCTTCAAATATAAATTACCGTCGAAGTGAAATCTGTTTCTTTACAAATCAATCGAAAGTATTCGACATGTATACATGCATCTACTCGAAATTTTTTTGCTCTAAGTGTGATCTCTCCGGCGTGACAAACTTTAAAAAAAATGTCACATTTTTAAATATGGTGTGCCAAGTCTTGGCACACCATATTCAAAAATGTGACATTTTTTTTGAGATTTCTGATACTCTCTTGAAAAGTTCTAGAGAGTATCAGAACTATAAAAAAATGGCACATTTTTGAATATGGTGTGCCAAGACTTGGCGCACCATATTTCAAAATGTGCCATTTTTTTTGCAGTTCTGATACTCTCTTGAAAAGTTTTAGAGCTCTTTGCAACAATTTTCAACAGTTCCGGTCATTAAATACAAAAAAACAGACTTTCAAAAAAAGGGGCGCTAAGTTCTCGCAGCGCACCTAAACAAAAAAACTATTTAAATTAACTGATTCTTTAGAGTTCCAGTTTGTTTTACAATAGTTCTAGAGTTGTATATCATATATAACAATAGTTCTAAAGAAATAGTTGATTTTACTGATTAAGTGCGCTTCG